ATGGTAAGTAATTGTTGTTTAAGAACCATAAATCGAAAAAAAAGGAAGCATTTATAAAGAATTAAAATCAATTCGAAACGAAAAGAAAAAAAAAAGATTTTAAGCAAAAAAAAATAAACAAACTATAACTTAGCTGTTCTTCAAAATTGTTTAATAAAAATAATACAATAATATCTATATTGGCAAAATTTTTACATATATCTAAGCTTTTTTTCCTGCGTTTATTTTTTCTGTCTTTTCAAGAGAAAAAATTTGACAATAAATTTTTAACTGTCATTAAAAAAGTACACAAAAAATGACTTTTTTTTTTTATTTAATAGTAAATAAAGGTTTATTGTATTTGCCCGAGCAAAGGTAATCGGTGGTCAACGAGGTTACTGGCAATTTATCATCGTATTTTACTTAAGATTTTCACCTTTTTATTTCTGGTTTTTCTACCTGTCACTCCAAATATAAATATAGTTAAGGAAGTGTCCAAAGCCGTTTTCTTCTTCTTTTGGAAGGGGAGAGGGAGGGTTGAGGACATCATAATATTTCTGTGGCCAAACTGCAAATAAAAGAAAATTTCTTCCAACGTGTACAATTGTTGATATTATAGCAGCTGTTTACCAGTTTCATCCTGTTTTCCCTCAGTAAAAGCCAAAACAGAAACGAATACTAAAAGTAGCTGGAAAGTTAGATATCAGTTTTTTTTTTTTTTTACTAAACTGTTAACTTACAGAAGAAGAAAAAAGTGAAAACTATACATACATTGGTACTCTCTCTCTTTTTGTAAGTCTGACAACTGTAATTTGATACTTTGCTAACTGTCTAAACTAAGCTATAAACAAAAAAAAAAAAAATTTTTTTTTAAATAGTATTAATTGTTCAATATGAAAAAATATAATTTATTTTATCTTTTTTTTCCTCCTCTCCCCTCTCCTCCCCCCTCCTCTTATCTCCCTTCTCTAATTTTTTCTTCAGCTTTCGAAGACGTAATCTGCTTATGAATCACTATGTCATTATTCAGCGCAGGCGTACCAGTTTTCTCCAAATTGTTAATCTTAGCTGTATTAAATCGTTTCAATTTCAATCTCTGTCAGTTTGTACATATTTTTGATGCTCAATTTTTGTCTTATCTGCCTGCCAAAATTCATTTTTTCTAATTTTAGTCAGCAACAATTGTAATCTATTTTACCCCCCTCTTCCTCTCCCTTTCCCCTCTTTTTTCCCCCCCCCCCCCCCCCTTCCCTCCCCCCCCCCCCCCCCCCC